TTAAGATGGCTTTTGCATAAACCGACCAAAAGTAGAAAAAATTGAAATTTAAATATGTTGCGGTTGTAAATGTTATCTATATCAGTACACCAAATTTCAGACCCGGTCACCGATGATATAAAATAAAAAAGTTAGTTTTTGTAACATTCCTGTAAACATCAAGTAACGGTCGCATAACATCAGTATTATAATTTCCTACTCAACAAGATAAATGTAATATAACACCCATGTTATATTACATTTACATTATTAAGTAGGAAATTATATTGATATTATGTAACTGTTATTTGGTGTTCACTGGGATTAGGGGTCATGGGCCAATTGCTCGCAGAAACACTTTAAGGATTAATATTATTTTATAGAAAAAGTAGATCTTAACAAGAAACGAGAAGAACATAATAAATGTCACAAAGATTCAAATGTGCTATTAAGTATATGAGGTTACCGACCTTTGCAAGTAAATATTTATTAGTAAAATCAAAAGGTATGTTTTGAGGAAATTTGATAACTCTTTGAGACTTGACAATATCACATATTTTTAACTGTTTTTAAATATGCATATACAGGGTGAGTAAAAAGCACCGGACCGCTGAAATATCTCGAAAGATATGGGAAATACGGAAAAATGTTTCAGACAAAAGTTGTACGGTTTTAAAAGGGCTATATAATGGTGAAATAAATTTTCGAAAAAAGTTATTTTTTTATAGTTATATGGAGGTTTCCGTAATTTTTTAAAATAAAACCTCTTATTTCTGATTACATATTCTTGTAGCTGACCTCGAGACCTTTTCAAAACTCTACAGACACATTCTTTTTGGTCAAGTATTCCAGACAACATGCATGTCTAAACGAAAATATGTCTATACGAAAAATATCTGGCTGGGGTAATATTTTTCGCAATAAGAATTTTAATGAGGATCCGGGCAGCCACTTTCGCCCGCTAGGGAGCTGCCGACCAAAGGCGCGTCTGCTAGCCCATAAGCGATTACGGAACTGTTAGAGCTAACACCGTTGTTCGGCAAAATGCCTATGTGCTGCGTGTTTAAATGTTCTAATATGGGTGGACACGAGTTTCTAAAAGACCCAGAGAGAAGGAAAAGATGGGTGATAACTGTAAAACGGGAAAAAGCCTACAATGCGCGCGCTGCCGCTGCAGCAGTCAATCCGACGTTAGGTTGGCATCTCGGTGTTGCCATCTGTCCTTAGCTTGTCGTTGCCGGATCCTCATTGCCAGACACGATCGACAAACCGATGTTATTAATATATTGTTTAGTTTTAGATAGGGGTCTTACTTGAAAGTTACTTGATAAGATAATTTTTGAAAGTTTTTAAAAATAGAAAAGTTTGTGAAATTAGAATGAGATTTGTAGCGCAATATGTAGTGTATAAGAGAGGATTGGGGCAGTTATGACAGCCACCCATAACCAGAACTGTCACATTACTGACAGCTTAAAGTATCGATTACTTTCAACACAAAAGATTCATAAATTAATCCGCTAGGAGATAATTTTTAAAAGTAACTCGCATTTAAAAATTGTTGAAGAATATGAGGACGATATAAGGAGGTCTATCAACGGCAGAATTTTGGGAAAATAATTCTTAGCATACTAGGAGTCCTAAAAGTAGTAATCACGACTTCCAAGAGAAGCTTTTAGTTCTCATTCCTATAGAAGAGGAAAGAACTCTTCGACGTCCGCTTGACCGCGGTCTAAGTACAAAGACCAGAAATTGCGTAATATCGAGATACGACCTTGCAAAAGAGATCAGTCGATATGCCTATAATACATGTCTCGAGGACGTCTTTTAGATTTGTTTTCAAGACGTCTTACAGACGTCTTGAAGACAAGTCTAAAAGACAGAAGGTCAACTACAAGAATATATGTAATCAGAAATAGGGGGTTCCATTTTAAAAAATGGCAGCGAACTCGATATAACCATAAAAAATTTATTTATTTCAAAACTTTATTTTACTATTATATTAGGGTTGTAACGAAAGTGGTTATAACGAAAACGAATGCGAAAGCGAAAGAAAACATATCAATTTTTGCGAAAGCGAAAGCGAATGCGAATGCGAAAGATCTTGTTTCTTTCTACTGAATGATATAATTGACAGTTAGGAAAAATGTTATGTAATTAATAATCTAATAATAATAAAAAATATTTCTAATTGAAATTATTGAATGAGAAATGCAGATTAGTAAATTAGTAACTTATTTATTTTAATTATAATCATAAAATACATTATTGCAATGTAACACAGAACAGGAACGGAGATATCACTTTCTAATAAAACAAAATAAACATTTTCTATCATTTCAGAATAAAATAAAGCTCTAAAATATTGTAGGTTAGGTTAGAGTTCTACGTGCGGGCCAGACAAAATCTTTAGCTAAAACTTTCGCATAATTAGTTGCGAAAGCGAAAGCGAAAGCAAGAGTCTAAAATGATGCGTAAGTCTCGCTTTCGCATATGCGAAAGCGAATATTCGTTACAACCCTACATTATATGGCCTTCTTAAAACCGTATAACCTTTGTCTAAAACATTTTTCCGTATTTCCCATATTTTTCGAGATATTTCACCGGTCCGGTACTTTTTACTCACCCTGTATAACCTAGCACATATCAATGCATTTGATCAATAATCCATTAAGTGATTTTTTAAGTGAAAAAAAATAATGAATTTATAAATCAAAGGGGCCCCACTAAAGCACCTATACTAACCGCTCCTTTATGCAGAAGCCACCTTAAATACAAAAACGAACTATGAATACCAGCCAGACATGTATGAAACAATGCAATTCAATTTTAAATTTGCAATGTAAAACAGTTACATTGTAACTTCGAGAAGACAATTGTTGGAGAATATCACGTTTAGCAACAAAAAGAGTCATCAAAACAAAGACATTTCGCGATTGTCCGAATTCTTGCGTGATAAATGAAAATACGATAAACTCGCACGATAAATGACGGTCTGAAATCTTCAACCGAATATAAACATACACACGTACAACAAACATAAATATACACACAAAACGATCTTTATTTTCTCTTTTTTTTTAATTTCTTCGCACGAATTTACTCTCACATACAGATACAGTGATATATCAATACTAAATCGTATTTTTACCATTACGGTCAAAGAAGCTGATGTAAGGTATATCAAGTATAGTGCTCCATGTAATTATACGCACGCAGTCCAGGACGGACTCATCGCCCAGTCCGGACACGATCACCAGGTGTCTGGGTATCCTCTTCATTTTAGTTAGCGTGCGAATGAGCTCCGCCGTGGTGCCCGCGCGCCAGTACTCCGCACACCGCCCGTATGCTGCGTCGCACGCATAGCGGATTGCGATGTACAGGCTATGTAAAAGGTGTGCGAGCACTAACATCATATGTAGAAAAGCACTCATACTGCTGGCGTGCGACTGCGTGTCTATACAACATAATAGGGTGTGTGGCATCGACTGAGCAGCGCGACAGCACGCGACAAGTCTTTTAAGCTGCCTGGACTGGAAGGCCTCGAAATCCGCGTGTCCACCACCAGCCTCTCAGCCAGCGTTACGTGTCAACCACACGCACACATGAATCAGCTTATAAGTCGAACGCTCGTAAAGTCCGCGAACCTCACTAGCTGCACAGCTCGAGCTTCCTACACCACCTCACGTGGGAAATACATACAACTTCTTCTGTTTTTTATTTAAAGGTCAACAAGAGTGACGGGCAAAGCGGAAAATTCCGAATCGATATTGAAGACCTCATGCGGCAACAGTCCGAAACTTCAGTTTTAGGATTACCAATTTAAGAAATAAATTCCTAGGCTCTATGGCCGGTATTCATAGGCCCGGTTTCACCAACGCGAGTTAATCTAATCGGTCGGTTAACTTGACAGGGTGCCAACATAAAACTTCTTTATTAACCTATTTTCTTGGTTAATAAAGAAGTTTTATGTTGGCACCCTGTCAAGTTAACCGACCGATTAGATTAACTCGCGTTGGTGAAACCGGGCCATAGTTGAACTATAAAGGCCTTCACACATAAAATTCCGTAAGGACGTAAAACGTAAGCATAAGAAAATCGACCAATCACAGTCGAGAACGTAAGGCAATGACGCAAGCAGTAGCAAATCCAACCTGTTGATTTTCTT